CGTTTGACTCCAATCACACTTGATAGAAAGCGGAGATAAAGCCCAAGATGTTTTGCATGTTTGCCGTGACAATGTCTACTCAATTTGTTTTTGGATATTGTGCTTTGTATTCTGTCTATTCAAGTGCATTAAGGTGACAAAACTTTTGTTATGAAAATTGTCTATGAAAACATAAAATAACGTAGACAGAGAAACCTATAGACTAATGATTAGCGTGGCCTCGAATGAGAAAGGACGATAACGTGGTTTTAGGTTATACAATAATCTTTATGACTTTTAAACGTATTTAGATAAAAAAATTAATTGTTCTAAGAACTGAACTGAACAAGATTCACCAACCTTTTTTCTCACTTTACCAACTTGTAAACTCCTTACATCGCTACGAACTGTCAAAGTTGTTTAGCAAAGTGTCCCTTTGTTTTTTTTCGTGTGCGAATGCGAAAGAAGGCGTCAATTTGTCTATAGGTTTCTCTGTCTACGTAAAATAATATATAAAATAATGAACAAGTAACTATTAAGTGAACAAGAGTTGTGAGAAATAAAACAACTGCCACACTAAACACTTTGTACCGTAGACAGAGAAACCTATTGTACTTTCTTACCACGCTAAGCGTGAGATTTTGGTTAGCGAAGTTCCATCGTATTATACCTACGATAAGCAACGAGGTGTCTTTAATCTTAGACGCTGTGGCAGTCCTGTAGATGGCGAGTCAGGTACTTTCAAAGAACATGTTCTTAGTAGAGTGTATACCGTTCATCCTAACAACGCTGAGTGTTTCTATTTGCGATAATTATTACATACAGTGCGAGGACCGCACTGTATGTATAATTATTTAACTTTTTGAGAAAAGTAGACGATGATGTTTATCCAACTTATCATGCAGCTTGCCAAGCGCGTCGTTTGCTTGAAAATGATCAGCATTGGGATGATGCTTTAGCAGAATCCTGTGTTAGTGATAATCCACGACGGTTACGCCATTTATTTGTAACATTACTCATTGTAATTTGTCAGATGCTGTACAATTATGGGAAAAATATAAAGGAACATTTGCAGAAGACTTTCTTCGGAATATATCTCACAATGATGAAGGCGCAACTAATGATAATTTCTGTGATCTTGCCATAAATCTGTGCTTATTAGCTCTTCAGGAAGACTTAACAGCAGGAGGCGGTAAATCACTCTGTGAATATGTTTTGCCAACACCAACCTCAGTCGGAGAGGTTACCAATAGGGAATATTCCGCAGAGATTGGTTACAACTCAATGGAACTGCTGGCAACATTAGAAAACGGTGTTCCAATGATGACTGCAGAACAACGTTCAGTCTATGATCGCGTGTGCGAGAGTGTTCAGAATAATTTGGGAACAATATGGTTTTTAGATGCACCTGGAGGAACTGGGAAAATCTTTTTGACTAAATTAATATTAGCTTATGTTCGAAATCAGCGTAAAATTGCTCTTGCCGTGGCTTCATCAGGTATAGCTGCAACATTGCTACCAGGAGGTAAAACTGCTCACACTATGTTTAAAATACCAATTGATTTAGATCGCACGGAAAGTCCAACCTGTAGTATTTCAAGAAATAGCGACAAAGCTAAGGTATTACGAGTACGTGAGTGTAATTTAATCATATGGGACGAATGTACGATGGCCCACCGAAAAGGAGTAGAAGCGGTAGACAGAACTTTAAGGGATACAAGACAAAATGATCGACCAATGGGCGGTATCACGGTTTTATTTTGTGGTGATTTCCGACAAACCTTACCGGTAATACCACGGGGAGGTACATTTGACTATAAATAACATGCGAGTGAGAACTGGAGGTAACCCGGATGATCGTCAATTTTCTGATAAGTTATTAAAGATTGGTGAAGGTACCTATCCACAACTACACCAAGGAAATCTTATTCTGACGCCTGGGTTATGTTGTATAGTGCAATCCCAACCACATCTTATATCGTCGGTTTACGGTGACGTAACAATTATATTAAATAGGGACAATTCTTGGCTATGCGAAAGATCCATTTTAACTCCTCGCAATGACCAGGCATCTGAGATTAATAACAAAATACTGTCGAATATACAGGGGGAAAGCAAAGTTTATAGTTCAATAAATAGAATGCTCGATGAACAAGAAGCCACTAATTACCCGATAGAATTTTTAAATTCTTTAAATATGCCCGGACTTCCTTCTCGTGAATTTTTTTTTAAAATTGGCATTCCGATTATTCTGCTCCGAAATTTAAGACCACCAAAACTTTGCAATGGAACTCGGGTAAAAGTAACCCAGTTGCAACAAAATATAATCGAGGCTCAAATTTTAATAGGTTGCGGTGCAAGAGAAACCGTCTTTATTCCCAGAATTCCCATAATACCAAATAATTTTCCATTCTAATTTAAAAGAAAGCAATTCCCAGTATCAGTGTGTAATGCAATTACAATTAATAAGGCTCAAGGGCGGACTTTTCGTGTTGCTGGAGTAGATCTCGGTGTCAGTTGTTTCTCGCATGGTCAGTTGTACGTCGCTCTTTCCCGGGTTAGCAGTTCTAGAAATCTTTATGTTCACGTGCCGGACGGGTCAACTTTCAACATAGTTTATTACCCGGAAGCTTTGCGCTGAAGTATTGTTCTATAAGTACTTAAGCCTCATGTGAACGTGATCTAAATAATATTACCAATATATTAACTTAATAACAAACAAGGAGTTACACTCCATCCAAAGCCCAGCGACACTATAACATATATACGAATGACGTCTTAGCAAAAGTTATTTAGTCGGTGATGGGCATTTCCTGTTGACTTACAAAAATGAAAGATCTAGAACGTCTCGAATCGTCTCGCGAATCACGTTGTTTTCCCGTCCCCGGGCTCTTAGAATTCAACATCAGACGTTTCAGATAGCTGCGCCCTCTTTTCCCAAAAGAGGGTCGCTCACGATACGGCACAATAAAGCTTAATCAGCCAGTTCCCAGTCCCTAAAGGCGGTTTTTAGAGGGTATCACTTAGGTTCCCCCGGTAGGATGTGAGTCCCTCATAACCACGATAGACCGGCTATCGTGGTATGCGTAATGCATTTTCCGCCTCACTACGTATAGGGATACCCTTTAATTGCTTCGGGCGCAAAAAAAAACGTTTCACATCTTCGATTTTGTCGACCCCTGACTTTTCATACTTCTGATTTGTGCTAAATTGTGGAAAGTGGATGACTATTATTGGCCCTATGTAAAACATATAAGATTTTTTATCAAAGAATAAAGGCTGTTATCCGTAATAAATAAAATAAAATAAAGTAAAATATATAAAAATATATAATATGTGTGTCTATATAATGTAATTATATGAGTACACATATATGATTATTTATTTTATCATATTAAGTAATTAGATGTATTTATATTTGTTTATGAAACTTTATTAATTAGCTAGGTGGTAGCTCAGATGGTTAGCGTTCGCTGTAAATTACATAGTACGCAAGCAACCCGGGTTCGAACCCCGCCGGCACCAATTAAACTGTTTATTTCGCAATTGTAAGCGCTAATTTACCACGTACTCGGCGGTGAAGGAAAACATCGCGAGGAAACCTGCATATCTGAGAAATAAGAAAAAAATATTTCTAAAGCACGATAACTGTTATTTATGCTTATTGTTACATTTAATACATGTAAATACGCCTATTTTTGGCATATAAATGTATTTTCTTTTCTTTCTTTTAATTTGAGGTATTATTAATGATACAATATATCTTCAAACTGTCCTACATTTCAATATCCACGTCAATGGGATGGGTCAACCCCCGGTTTATGTACCGCACCTTTTTATGTCGCCTTTTAATGGAATTGCTAGTCGCGGCAGGGAATAGAATACCTTTTATCACGACATGAATCTACTTAGTCCAATTTTGTCACTCGCTGCGACATCATGTCTTTTCGCATACTAATGCTTAATTTTATAATAATTTCCTCGGTGTTTGGAATACGGAGATCGGGAGGATATAGTGGGAAATACGGTCATTATCCTTCATCACACGGTTATTCAGGGACCGGCGTTGGTGGGGCGCATAGTTATCCCCATTCTACTGGTTTATCAGGTAATACGTACATCAATCGAAACCCATCAACAACGTATCAAAATCACGGACACACATCGAGCTACACGCATAAATCTGAAGTGCATCATCATTATCATTACAATCCACCACAATATATAAATTATGGATCAGCTCATCATCCAGTGTTTCATTCCAGTCCACCAGTGTATGTTTACGAATACCGGAACTCCGGAAGTAGATTTGATAATCTCCTCACTGGTTTGGCTTTATACAATTTAGGCAGAATGTCATCGGGCCACAGCCATTACAATACATATAAGGAATATAGTGGTAAGCCAGGAGAGATATGTAAACTAGGCATCAATAAAAGTAACGGAGAATACGAGGAAACGAGAATTGATTGCAAATTAATGTCCAGTTTCATTTGGGAGGCAGAAAGAGATCAGAATAAAATCGTGTCTACAAACACCAATACTGTAACCACTGTGAATGTTACGCAAACTGTTATAAAGACATCCAACTCAAATGTTTCGACAACGGTCACTGTTCAAAATACAAGCGTAGTTGACGCCTTGCAAGTGAAGGGTCCTTCCCTTAAAGTTACACCAGGAATGAATTGTTTTATGATTCGTATATCAAGAGATTCATCGATATTAAAGAAGAAGGTGGAATGTGGTTTGTTACAAGCATATGCACAAAATTCTTTAAGGTATAATAGGTGTGAGCGCATTGAGCCAAGGTTAATATTATTTGTGACAATTTTAATGATACACTTTAGTATTCGAATATAGCATATTTTATTAATAGATTTGTTTCGTACAGTTTCAACATTGATATTTCAATTTATTGTTAAAAACAATTGTAGATATAAATCAAGGTGAGCACTGTACTGATAGCCATAATCGCGTTACTCAAATCCACGCTCAGTACTCAACATTGTAAAATAAGAAACTTATACATTTATCTGATCGGAAAACAGTTTTGGCAGTTTCTGCCAACATTCATAATACTCGGCGTCCAGTTTCTGGCACGTTTTCATACCCCATTTTGTAATAGCCATGCTTAGTGAAGACTCGAACATAAATGCCTGTGAAGTATAGGATTATTTCGATTATTTCTATTTAATGTGCAGAGATGTAATAAAATAAAAATGAACATAATTATGAAATTGTATTAAAAGGCTTTTGATAAAGGTTGATTTATCATGCGAAATTATTATATATCTTAATATATATAAATTACGTGTCACGTTGTTTGTCCGCGATGGACTCCTAAACTACTAAACCGATTTTAATCAAATTTGCACACCGTGTGCAGTTTGGTCCAACTTGTGAGAGAGAATAGTTTTTTTTGCCCATGAATGACCCACAATTTTTTTTGCGAATTTTAGGATTTTTAATAGGACATGACAAAAGGTCGTCGAAAAGGGCAAAACAACGTCTGCCTGGCAAGCTAGTTAAAATATAAAATGTTATATTCCTTATTTGACTAATTTAATAAACAAAAAAAAAACAACTGGCTACTTGTATTCAATCCATTTGTAATATTTCTTTTTTGCGCAAGCTACGTTTATTATGTATTCTGTATTCTGTACTAAGGGTATTTATTATGTATTCTGTTCTAAGGGTAGATATTATATACTATTTGTCACAAACGCACCCGGCAAGCAAATTATGAAACATTGTTTCATAATATTTAGTTTATTATTATATAGGTACATGTTATCATGAGCGTTGCGGTGAATGAAAAGACAGTGAGGGAATTTGTAACGTTTTAGAATATGTGAAAACCGTCGATACACTGTAGATGTAGAAGAAGTATAGATTTAGACAAAATATTATTAATTTTTATTATAAACAACAATAAATATTTGGTGCTCAAGATCCTTAGAGTATTTATAATAATATACTCATAAGTTGAGAGCCAATCTAACATAAATGAACACGGTAGCCTTGAAAATGTCTGCCATTTCGTTTTTATGATTTTTAATGATTTAGAGAGAGGTTTTTGTTCTGCACATAAGAATAAGGGCTAATATTATAATAGTACCAACCTGTGTACCAACAGCGATCTTCTGGGGCACAAGATCTGCCTTGGAAGCCCCGGTGAAGCATTGCTCGTCGGGTCCGTGCGGCGTCATCATGGAGTGCAGCGACGCGCCACCCGCCATAAATCCGCCCTCCTTCGCTTCGTACGACCCGAAGATCAGACCCATGAACTCACTCATGCAGTTTCCTTTACAAATTGTAATCTGTTTAGATTGCTCCCAAGTAATTTCGGTAAAAGGGGGGGGGGGTAAATAGTATGTAAAAACAATATTTCCAAATGCCAATTTTGGTTTTAGGGTATCTTCTTAATAATTCTTTTTTCTTTTTGTTATATGATTTTTTTTTTTTTGATTTTTTTTTTTTTGTTTTTTTTTTTAAAATATTTTTTCTTTTGTGTTCGGTTTGTCAGGCAGAAATCGCTTAAAGCGATATTACCGCCGTTTGTAGTCATAAGTTTCCGTTATTGTATCAACTTTGTTCAAATGCAATAAAGAGTTATCTAACTATCTATCTAACATCAAGAAAATGAAAACTTCGGTTGCCAAGCTTGGCAAATATCGTTTCAATGATGCAATCTATGATGGAGGCCTATACATATAGGTGTAATGAATTGATGATATGTAGCAGCTTGAATAAATTCTTCATTATATCTGAGTAATCGGACACTAAGTTGTCTATATATAACACAGAATATTTTATATTATGTCTATATAGTCCGTAATAATTATATAATATTAATTTAATATTTATTTCCTGTTTTGACTAAAAATCATTTTGTATAACAGGGTCAACAGGTGATGTAATTTTATCGATTTACTTGCTTTGTGACTATTTTAAAGACAGAAATTTGCATTTGCCTAAGGACAATACAATGTTATTACCTTTCAAAGGTAACTTTGAACTGTTATTTTCCACCAAATCTGGGGGCTTAATATTAATTACTCTGGTTCATTCCCTCATTCTACCCATTATCGACTATGCCGATGTATGTTACCCATATCTGTCGGAAAATCATCTAAACAAGTTGGAGCTTCCATAAGGTTTATTTTTGGTTTACATAAATATGACCACATATTATCCTATCGTTCAAAGCTTAAATGGCTACCTATACGTCAAAAGCGATGCTCTAGAATATTTACTTGTACTTTATTCAATTTTAAACGATCCAAGGTCGGGTTCTTATCTTAAGGATAATTTTCATTTTTTTCATTCAATCGACGGTCGAACACCCCGACAGTTAAACCGTCTGAGGTTAGGGTTTCCACAGCATAGGTCAAATTTTTTAGGTCGTCTTTTACGATACAAGCTATACAACTTTGGAACACCCTCCACAATGATATTAAGAAAGCCACCAATAAAAAAAATCAAAGTTATTCTCCGAGAACATTACTTGAAGGCAACTACTAATTGAATAAAACTAAATTTACGGATTCTATCACGTTTATTTAACTGATTTTACTTATTTTTAATTCCCGACGTTTCGGGTGCTTTACAGCAACCATGGTCACGGGGGGGACTGAGATGTTTGACGTCCCAATGTCATTGTTAGCCCGGCTACCTTCAGTTTTTGAATATTAATTTTTGGTCCGATTTACGCAAAACGAACTTACAGTATCTTGAAGTCTTGCAGTGGTATGCTTGGGTTTGGGTTTAATTTTGTTAATTATAGGATTCCAAGCAGATGGCAACACCCAACCATCTTCTCTATTGAAATTAGGATGTTTTTTTAATTTCAATAGCCTCGCGTATCATCCTTGTTAGGAATCGGTGTTCTTTTGCGAGGATTTGTGGTTTATCAAATCTGATGTAACGGTGGGGACGATCTTGAACATGTTCACAGACTGCAGACTTCCCGGAGCGTCGGGAAACTTTGAAGTTTTCATATACCATTGTTCAGAAATAAGATTTGGGTGATACTATAACAACACTTAGGGCTGTAATAAGCAAGTGACAGCATGCAAAAAACAGCTTTAATGACAAAATCAAGTGCAAGTGTTACAAAATACTTAAAGTTGTATACAAGAGTTTTCATATTTTGATTTAAAACCTTAAGGTTAATTAGATACCATAATACAGACTTTATACAGCTTGAGCTGTATATTAACTTATAAACCACTCTTATAAGGATACAACTTCTTTTATACACTCTTATACGCTTCTAAAAAAATCTAAGTTCAATGTGAGCAGGTATATTGATGTTCATAACGCTTGTGTGCTGCATGAGTTGTAAATCCACGCACTTACTCCCGCACACTTTAAGCTGTCAGGAAATTCGCCCATACCAATACTTAGGTAACTTAGGTTGAAAATATGAGTAAGAGGAATGAAAATTATCTCTTTAATAGATTCGATAAGAAGTGGGGTACATCCGTCAACCCCCAGCGACTATGTATGGATCAAGTCTTGATTTCCATGAGTCAGTTAGTTTAAGGAAGAAATGATGTATGAATGGAATGAATGATTTTTTATTCAATATAGTTTATTGTATAATACTTATTGAAAGTAATTTTTTTATTAACCACTGGTTCGAAAAAAACCTCAGTCCTAGAAAGAACCAGCAAGAAACCCAGCGGGACGTTTTTTAAACATATTTCAATTTAAAATAGATTTATTTTGTACAGTTTTTGTATGATTTTTATAGAACCAGCATGGTGGCGATCATTTCATTCCCAGGGGTTATTTTCATTTATGTATTCATTTGTATTATAATTACACTTTTTGTACAATATTTCTTTAATAAAACATTTAATAACAAATTTTGTACATTTTCTGGGATTTTGTTGTAAAAGAATAATATATGAATTACATAAATGAATTACTAATTCTGTTGAGTCTAGTAACTGGAGCTTATATTTGTTCCTAGTGTTTAAAGAATGAATATCTTTATTCTTATGAAAGCTATTTATGTTTTATGTACATACATTACACTTTCACAAATATATTGCAATGCCAAAGTTAATATGTTTATTTCCTTAAATTTTCTCTAAGCGACTCTTTACAATTTAGGTTATAAATTTGAATCTCTTTTGCAATAGATACAAATATGACTTCACTGTCAGTCGCATTACCCCATAGTAAGATTCCATAAGACATTACGCTATGAAAGTAACTAAAATAAATTAATCTAGCTGTCTCAACATTAGTTAGACTTCTAATCTTTCTTATAGCTTATGCTGCAGAACTGTCTGCCTGCTAATTCAAATATATGGAGACCCCATTGAAGCTTCACGTCAATAGTAATACCAAGAAAACAGTGGTATCCACAAGACTCAACTCTTCCCCATTTAAGAGCACATTTGGTATTTGAATGTTTAACATTAGGTATTGTAAATTTCCTCAGAAATGAGGATATCCGCAGTAAAACCAGAGTGACCGACATAGCCCAACGGATTAGTAAGCTGAAGTGGCAATGGGCCGGTCATATAGCTCGAAGAACCGATAACCGATGGGGAAGAAAGGTTCTCGAGTGGCAGCCACGTACCGGTAGGCGTAGTGTAGGGCGACCCCCCACTAGATGGAGCGACGACCTGGTAAGACATGCAGGAAGTCGGTGGATGCAGGTGGCTCAGGACCGTGCTTTGTGGCATTACTTGGAGGAGGCCTATGTTCAGCAGTGGACTTGTGAAGGGCTGTGATGATGATGATGATTGTTGTAAATTTAATAAAAGAATTGAGCTTGAGCAGATGATTGGGAGCTTTTAACATAATTTGTCTTCTAAAGTTGAACGCTTGGACAGGATTTGGTCGGCTAATTTTTGACCGGAGGAGACAAAATATCTATTACAGAAATTTAATGATGACTTGCTGTTATCGCCTCTTTCCAAGAGTTCGTCAGAATTTATACTCTTTTGGGGAACACAACTACTATGCAACTGTACGACTAAATTCACACGAAGGAGGCAACATACATATTATATGCGTTATCAAAGATGAGAACTAATAAGACGCCAGCCTGTAATACCAGCTTTCAATCCGATAAACAGCTGTGGATGTATTGCTTATTTTCATTATAAATAAGTAAGAGGGTATTCTATATGAAAAAGGGTGGCAATGTCTATGAAGATAAAATTCACTCTTGCCCGTAAAAAATCTCCGCTCCGGTAACGTCACTAACCATACGAAACATTGGACCATTATGCTGCTACTTTATGTTAGGGTGTTTATATTCTGTAAGTCGTGGTCCGCATAGCACTTATAAATTTCTTTATTCGAAATCAGACGGAACCTTGGGCTTGGTCTACTTACTATTAGGTGTACTGTGAACTCGTAACATATGACAACTGCATTGAAATTTAATAATAGTTGCTCAACCAACTGCATTGAAAATTAATAATAGTTGCACAACACGTTTTCTCAATTACTTTAAAAAAGTTATGGAGTCACTTACGATGATAATATGGAGGCCTAAATGTATGTTCCTGTACTGACCAGCGAGGCGGGAATATTACGAAGTCCGCGATAGCTACGCCGGGTTTTGTAGATGGACATGTTAAAACTGTGAATATTGATGGGTCCTGTTGACATAAACAAACAATAAATCATTATTCAAAATTGATTTTGCGTTAGGTACTTAAAATATGAGTTTGTCGGTTCAATTTATAAATCCAATTACCCCATACCAACAAAGAAAAAAGTTACAGCCTATATACGTCCCACTCCTGGGCACAGGCCTCCACTCATTACTGAGAGGGTTTCAGGGCAAGGAATTGTCCGCCGCGCTGCTACAATACTTGTTGGCGAACCACACATGTCTATGAAAAATTTTTTTTCTAATTTCTCGGACATGCGGGTTTCCTCACGATTGTTTTCCTTCACCGCCGAGCATATGGTAAATCAGCGCTTAAAATTGCAATTAACAATTTCATTGGTGCCGTCGGGGATCGAACCCGGTTAGCTCGCGTACTGTGAAATTTACAGCGAAAACAACAAAAGAAAGAAAAAAAGACGATAATAGTATGCAAAAACAAAGATACACATAATGGTCGCCACACACGGTCAGTTCAACTGAACATTCCAACTGATCAGTTCAAACTAAAACTGTTGATATTTTTTTTAAATATGGCTATATAAACTTATATATATGTAAAAAACTATCAAAGTTTTAATATGAACTGTATCAGTTGAATGTGTGGCGGCATATGATTTAATTCAATCAGGAAAACATGGTTTTGGTTGCATTTGTGTGAGCTTAGCTGTGAACTTTTAGGCCCTGATAAAGAAAGAAAGAAGAAAGATTCATGCTTGAGTGCATGTCAAGAAGTTGTGCATGGTTTCGAAACCACTTTAAATGTACGCAGCGCTCCATCTATTTTATTAGGCTGTTTTTTATCGAAAGAGTACTTTCACAATTCGGTGGAATTCACTATTTAGTATGTGCTTTCACAGTGGTACCATAATTATTATATTAATTTAACTACATCCTTCAATTATCGAAATCAGATGAAATATGTTTCAAATTAGCTTATTATTGTTAAACTATGAATACTTATATTTCTATTTCGCTTATTTACAAATAGTTGTTAATACTTACGCAATGGTCGAATGACACAGAGTTGATGACCATGAATTTACTCAAATCATATTTATATGGCACATAGTTTCCATGCCACGCCACAACATCGAATGGCGAATGATTTTGTTCAGCTTCGAATAAAGCGCCCTGGTATTTGTTAAATATTTTGAATCCTGTATAAAACAAATTGATTATACATTTTTTGGTGCAGAATTATTGTGTTTTAGGACATTTAAATTTGCAATTTTTGAAATAGATTCAATTATATGGACAGAAAGCACGTAGTATAGCATTAGTATTATAATGCAAGAACGATATTAAAAAAGGATATTATAAGACAATAATTATCCTTTTATGTAGTTTTATTATAGTTTCATTATAAGTTGTATTAAGATTTAGTACGTACCAGATATTTCTTCATCATGATAACAAGCGACAGGAGTTAGGAAGTCACGCGGGTTAGCCAAACCGTTAGCTCCTATAGGTCCTAAATCTGGCAGTTTAAAGTGGCCATCGAACACCTCGAGAATGTAGCCCCTGATGATTGCGTGATTAAAAACTATTACTAAAGTATTATTTATACTTTTTTTGCGAAATACGTTCTGAACTCAGAAAAAAGTCTAGCTGATATAGATACAGTCAATATAGGAAACATATAGGAACACAATTAACGAAACACCGGTCTTATGCATGATCTCAGATATCATGCGTCCACTATACACTTTTAATAAAAGCATATAGTGGAACTACTCTCCAGAGAAGACTGGCTGAATAGCCAGGTTATCTGTGAGGTTGATAGCCTCATATGGTAAAATATCGTTGTACAGTGTGTTCCCTGTAAATATGATCGTAACACTATGCATTGAACATTCCTGAAACTTATATAGCAAATACATTAAGCAATATCCATCACAAACTGAAGTGCACTCATTTTGAATCTTATCAACATTCCAGTCCTATATTTTACAATTCCTTTGTAAAAACTCTAGATGATATCGTACAGGTGATCGTCCATATGAATTAAAATATTGACTGATACCATTTGTATCGACATATAAAGCTATCCAATGTTAGCCTGGTTTATCATCTGTATCCAATTTGCGTAGGTACTATATACGTTGGTACGTGGATATACATGGGCAGTCTATTAGCAGCATAAAAATTATTTTCTAGACTGGGATTAATCTTACATCTAGTGTATGTATCTATGATATTACTGTTATTAGTTTTTTATATTACCAATCTATTTAATGGTTAACATAGTGTAGCGGCGCTGTCATCGCGCCACAAGCGAAAACACACCGAAGCCTAAATCGCGCTATCAACATTTCGAATCATAAACAGTATATATAGAACTTCTCCAAACTATCACATGGAGTGTCGGCCGCTCCCCAGGCAGTACACCTTGCCTGGCGGGAGATCTCCCCTTTTCCTTCCTACCACGGCCAGTGGTGACCACCCGACGTGATCTGAACATGCAACCAACAACCTTCGGAAACTTCAAGCTTCATCATCGTCATAGAATACCCCACCCATTCGCTCCCGAGCAGATATTGTCTGCAGCCTTCATATCCTGCAAGCCATCTAGCTTCACAAGATTCATAGCAGCACTGGAATAGTAATGCTTCCTGTTCCTTCAAGCTACACTCTGCGCTACAGTGTTCAGCAAGGCTCTGAGTCTTACTGCTCGCCTCTGCTTCACGGCACTCTCGCAGATTACTTGCCTTCTTCTCGACTCACCGCAGACAAGGCAATCTCCTGGCACTTGCACATTCGTAAGCAACGAGGCTGCACTATCGACCTCCGGTCTGAGCAGGGGGTGATGTAGCGGCGCTGTCATCGCGCCACAAGCGAAAACACACCGAAGCCTAAATCGCGCTATCAACATTCCGAATCATAAACAGTATATATAGAACTTCTCCAAACTATCACATGGAGTGTCGGCCACTCCCCGGACAGAACACCTTGCCCGGCGGGAGATCTCCCCTTTTCCTTCCACGGCCACAATAGGAATGATCAACTATAGTGATTTGTAAATATTAAATGGCATTCTTTTGTGATGATTTGTAGGAATCTTCGGTGTAGGGCTAGTCGCAACACGAAAGAATGCGAGATAAGTTTGTTTACTCATAAAGTTACTATCAGCTTCACTGCGGAAACTCGAACAGTGCTTTGTATAAGATTAAATAGGGGGATTATAAAGAAATAAGAAATAATAAATTGTATAATGTAAATATAATGTAATGTAAACAAATTGCATACAATTTGTTTTATTTAATTCCATAATGTTTTACATTGTTACATACACACAAAATGCATTACGCATAACATATAAATCTAACACACACAACACACATCGTTACCTTAACTTCTGTAGTCTACAGTAACATTTCTGTTTTTATCTATTTCAATAATATTATCAAACTCAGCATAAACTATACAGTTAATTGTTTGTATTACTGAGGATTCAAATCGTACTTCTAATCTTACACTACCATGCTTTATGAGATTCCAATGAATTGATGAGTTAGCTGATAACTCAGGAGTTAAGTCAAATGCTAATAGACAGTAACCTTTGGGATACCCACAGATTACCTCCTAATAGATTCCGCATACAGGGCCACAAACGCGCGCAACACATACTTGCTGTAGCTAGCATATGAAGTGACGCTAAGAATCACGATATCATTGTCGACCAAGTTTGTGACCCGTAGGCACGTCCGAGTTTTTGAAAATTTAAAAATAATTTTGGTATCCAAAATACATTACAAATGGCTTCCTATGCAGTGAAATGGTGTAGCAAGTTAGCTAAGACATCCAGTTATCAAAAAGATGGCATAATATTTCATCGGTAAGTAAATTTTATTCTTATCACGTTAACCTATTTCAAATGCACCGGAGTTCAACTTACACTGGATTAATAATGTTGCAAAGTGATATCATTTGAGCACCCGTTGATGTCTTTTTGAAATATCCCTTTCACTCACTACGTAAATTAAAATAGTTGTCTTTGTCTACCGACAGCACGTGTATCGATAGTGTTGTGATTTATGAGTCGATATTTGTTTGGTCATCGTTTGCTTTTTTTTGTAGTCATCATTTTATACAAATAGTGGCGTATAATTGTGCTACCTATATGTTATAAGTTTTCTAAATACCCCGAAAGGAAAAGATGTGGATCGACGCTACATGTCGAGGGGACCATTGGTTTCCCACCAAAAATAGTGTGCTATGCTTAAGACACTCCACAGAAGACAATCTTCATATTACGAAAAACCGTAGAAGGCTGTTGGATTCCGCTATACCATCTCTATACTTGCCAGTTTTAGTATGGACTTTTACATTTTATAAAAAGTATAATACCAATGGTGATTACACAATAAGTAATAGCATTAAGTGGTTGATTGAAACGTGATATTCTAATATTTAGGCGAATGTTACACGTCGAAATTGAACTATTTTTAACGGATTTATAAATCATAGAACAAGTGAAAGTTATAATGTGATTAATGTTATTCTAGTGTAACATGAACTTCAGTAATATCCTATTATATTATTATTAAGTACATCTAAATTTGAAACACGTACCATATGGTTTTTTAATTAATAATACTACTTTTAGGTGCAACACTAGGCAAAAAATACTGTCACTACCGAAAGGACATACCAGAACACACACAAAGGATTCACACCATTTTGTTAGTGAGATAAAAGACCTACATCTCGCTGACAATGAAACTATGGTCAGTTTTGGTGTTTAGTCACTATTCACATGCCTAACTATTGAAGACTGCTTCTCAATTGTAACTAGGAAGCTACAAGGTAACAACATGCCTGCAGCATATGCAGTATTACTCAAACACTGCTTCACATCTGGCTATCTATTGTAGAAGGAAGAGTTCTACAAGCAAGTTGATGGTGTGGCGATGGGCTCACCTGTATTTCCTATAGTCGCCGACATATATCATGGAGGACTTTGAGGAGAAACCCTTCCTACTGCTCCTATAAATCCAAGATTCTACAAGCGGTATGTAGACGCGACACTTTCAAAATTTTACCGTCTGACAAAGCAACTGCATTTTTAGACCACCTTAACTCAATAAGCTTCAAAATACAAATCACGATGGAGTTAGAAGCAAATAATACTTTAGTTTTCCTAGATGTTTTAGTCATCCGAAATCCTGATAACACTATTGGTCATACTATTGTGACGGCCCAATATTATTATTAATAATTAAATAAAGTCTTAAAAGATATATATTAAGAAATTAAGTTAAATTAATAAACATAGAGTTAATATATTTTCCCAATAACATAGTAAATTAAAGGCAAAATTATTGTTTTTCGTAATAAATAAATTTATTTAAAAACTTGAAAAAATATTTAAAATAAGATAAATAATAGAAATACAAGTCAAAAAATATTATAAAATTAAGTTAAATAACGTTTATAAGATAATTAGAAAATTTGTTAAAAATTGTTTAAGTCATGGGATGTGTTCGTGTATAAAAGAAAATTTTTCTAAGTTGTGGAAGGAGTTCACGTATAGACGAAATTTCTTAAGTTGTTGAAGGAGTTCATGTATTAAAGAAAATTTTCCTAAGTTATGGAAGGTGTTCACGTATAGACGTCTTGTATGGAGGAAGCTGCCGGAGGTACATACCTGCAGTTGTACATATATATGGGGTGGTCGGGAGCCCGACTGCCTGAAGTACTGTAGCACAATGACTAGTCCTATATTAGGGACTTATGATATTAAACTCAATGATACAAAAGCAATACTAAAGAAGGTCTCCATGATGAATTTGCATTACAATAGTAGGGTCGTGGGTTCGAACCCTATATATTAATGACTTATGAAAGTAAGGTCTATGATCCAAAAGCAATACTATAGAAGGTCTCTATGATTAATATGCATTACATTTGTAGGGTCGTGGGTTCGAATCCTATATATGAATGATTTATGAAAGTAGGGTCTATGATTCAAAAGCAATACTATAGAAGGTCTCTATGATTAATATGCATTACAATAGTAGGGTCGTGGGTTCGAATCCTATATATACATGACTTATGAAAGTAAGGTCTATGATACAAAAGCAATATTATAGGAGGTCTCCTTGATGCATAAGCATTGTATGGGGTGGTCGGGTGACTGACTGCTCCTAGTACTGTAGCAAAATGACTAGTCCTTATTAGGGACTTGAAAAGGAATATTATGGTGGCGTGTGTGCTGCTTCACGAGCAATTAGTCCGAGGTAAACTTGGACTCGCTAACCGATGTGTCCTAGACATATCATCTAAGTGCCGGTGGTAAGCGGGTTTGTTGTAGCAATACGGCTCTCCCGTGGACATCGCACACCCATACCGTTTGTGGGCGACGTCGTTGCGCATAGCGATGTGTCGTCTATCTTTCGGATTGGGATGATGAGTGTGTTTGGTAGCACTTTTAAGTGTAGCAGGCATACTCAACTTCATGTCTTAGTGCATTAACGCTATGATACGTGGAGTTTTGTTCATTGGCGTCTTAGTAGCGTGCT